CATAATGCGAACGAAGTAAATCTAAGCATCCCAATAATGCGAACGAAGTAAATCTAAGCATCCCAATAATGCGAACGAAGTAGGCCTAAATCTAAACATCCCAATAATGCAATCTTCATACATCCCAATAATGTACTCTAAATACATCCCAATAATGCAATCTACATACATCCCAATAATGCAATCTACATACATCCCAATAATGTACTCTAAATACATCCCAATAATGTACTCATATATAATATAGAACTATACATCCCAATAATGCAAGTTACGAACGAAGGCGAATGAAAACGAATCGAAAGGGCTTATTATGGCTCACGAAGCAAGGTAGATTTGACAACTAAAAACCTATCCGAAAGCAATGAAATGCATACACAATGTTACAAAATATACAATAAAACAGTCATTACCAAATTTGTTGTTCTCCATAGTCTGAATTCCTAATTGCAAAACATCGAAAAACGAAATGGTCCAACGTAAAAAACTGTATTTTCCCACAAACCGGAAAACGTGCAAATTATAGTCTCGATTATTTAGACGCTATTTTTAGAATTGAAGGCAAAGTTCGTTTTGAACCCTACATACATTATAAAACATTATAATAGTTTGAATTCTTGAATTTGCTCACTTTACTGATAAGCCAACATACTCTCATGACAATCCGAAACAGTGCTCCACAGTGTAATATTTGTCTTGTCAATTTCTAATGACACATGACATTATGCACATTCATTGAATCAATCAGGAGGTCCATATGAAAGCAATTAGCCAATAGCCATTGGTCATTATCTATATCATCTTCTAGGAGATAATGGGTTATCATTCTTGGTTATGAAGAATAAATCTTATACGATACATTTTAATGGTAAATCACCTAAATCAGTGAAAGTTTACACCAATGATTTAGAAATGTAAGTATGATTTAAGTGGCCCAGGAACGCCATCCACCAAACTGTGACTGGATCGACTTTTGAACCCCACTCTCTCATTTCTTAGTATTGAGTTCTGAAACGCCTTAGCCCATCACAGTTTTATGGTCTCTACTGGGTCATCCACATAATGATTTATGGACATGTCATTGAACTAGTCTCTTGAAATGGAAAAGGCGTGGAGTATTTTGTACAGGAGCAATAAACCAAGTTCCGACATGTTACAGCCAACAGGCACGCTTAAGACCACTCTACTGATAAGACTAATGACGCTATACTATGCGACTGTCATTTATTTTGTAAGCATAAAAAGATACAATATCACTTCATTGAGTAACAAACAACGAATCCAAATAACAAGAGACTACTAAATCCAACAATTGTATTTCAGGGGAGATTTTATCCGAGTTGGTGTTTGTTTCCCAAAAGACTCAACTCAGTTTAAGCTTGAGAGCTGGTATCCCTGGATAAACACTAAATATGCTCCATCTTATGCCGTGAACTCTATCGAAGAATTAGATTCGGACCTCAGTGGTAGAGCTTATTTCTGGGACCAAACTAATGGGTGAGTGCGTGATTTTCATTTGATATTCAAAATGAAAACAACCCCCAAATGGAATGACACAGTAGTTGTCTACAATCATAAGTGCAGCAATTGCAAAGGTTGTAGCAATCATACGTGTCAAAGTTGCAGAATTGGGACTGCTGGGGATGTATTCGAAAACAATTTTCAAGACATGCTTATCGACATTCCTGATCCCACTTTGGGAATTGTGGTTATTCGTCCTTTCATTCTATATTTGTCCACATCTAAGTGATGGTTGTAACCAATCCAGATTAGATTATAAGAAATCATAGATTTTTTCTTTTAGATTATTTTTTGTAAAGTTTATGTCCAATGAAACACGCGGTGACGATGACAGAAGAAACTGTCCCAATGGCAAATGTCCTAATTTTAAAATAACCAGATTAGATGGTGGGGACATTGCAGATTGTCTTACTACGGCTTATGGTCCATACAAAAAGAATCCAGAGGCTGCTGGTGGAAAATCAGACGCAAAACCTTGTACTACGTCTTCTGGATCTGTAAGTTCTTAATAGAATATCAGAAATATCTGCATTGGAAAAAATACGTTCTTGGAAAATCAGTTTCGCTTGTGTAAACAGGATGCCGGATTTTCATGGGTAATATTTGAAGATGAAACGCATTGTGCAATGAGGGAAATTTTGCCAGGACAGTGGCATTAGCCTATATATAATATGTCGTACTATCAGCGTTTTGTGTAATTATTCATATATAATTTTCAATGTCTTGACCGACTATAGTCAATTCTTTTCGGCAACATATTTGTGTTTTAACAGGGTATTGGTGCTGGTGAAACTCGATCCTCTGACTATACTCCATCTGATGAATCAACAAACTGCCCTGTAATTTCGACAACAGGTATGTTGATAAACTGTCCAATTACCATAATACCAACTGCAGTCTAGTACGATTTCAGCGTGCGTTACACATGTTTATATCTCTATGGATGTCCCATATGATTCATACATCATGCTATTTTAGCCATGTTATTTTAGTACCTCTAAGTAACAAAAGTTAGGGCATTGAAAGGCGTGGTTTTAAATAATCAAAACTAAATTACAGCTATTCCTATCTCTTCCGGTGCTCACCGTAGGATCATTCCTCCCCGAAATAAGTCATTTTGAAACGTATTTCACTTGAAAAATGTACTCAACGATAAAACATGAATGGATATTGAAACATACTCCACATAACGAGATAGTTCAGTGTGATCCTTGGGCCGAATGTTCGATCACAATTCCCTGTATGTCCGAGGTGAATGACGTCAAGATCAGTCGTAGATCACGTTGCCTCCCATTTCCAATAATTCCCCCCCCCCCCCCCCAACCCCCATGGTCTACCAATTCATCACCTTAGAAGCCCTGGTCAATAATATCATCTTACAATTTCAGATGTTGGAGACTTAAACGTAAAATATCGTGGTTGTTATAAAGATGATTGGAATTACAGAGATCTCTCGTTTCAAATGGTGAGGTATTTCACCTCCATGACTAGAGAGCTCTGTGTAGCTAGATGTCAACGTCTTGGGTATGTTTACGCTGGTTTACAAAAAGGTGACGAATGTAGGTGTGGTAACAATTTTGGTAAACACGGTGCTGATCCTACTGGTTGTACCAAGCCTTGCTCAGGAGCTAAAGAAATCATGTGTGGTGGTAACTTACGATCAGATGTGTTTGCCACTGGAAATCGTAAGTTTTTATTGGATTCGATATTTTTGAAAAATAGAAAAAAATCATGGATTTCCATCTTTAACAGAGATCCTTGGTTCGTTCGTCGATTATATCTATGTGACCTGATGCTGACAAGGTAAATTATTGAACAACTTGTACGATAAAACTCACGAATAGTATACCATGAAATCTCAACTTTTATATGTCGCTTAAGGATTATCTATGAATGATGGATTATGCCTGCCTAAAATGACGTAATTTCCTCAGAAAGTTAACGGTTATATATCAATTATATCAACAATACGAGGGATTTAAGAAAGAAAAATCTGGATATATCATAATGAATATTTGATTCTTGCTATCTTTCAGCTTTGCCACCCGAGCCTGCTCGATGTGGTCCTGGGTCACGAGGTATCATATTTGGACAGAAATGTTATTATATGGTATCTGAATTAAGGGATTATATGTCTGCACAGCGAGAGTGTGTTATTATGGGTGGTAACTTGGCTAGTGTTACGTCTGTTGATGAACAGGTATTGGACTAATTACAATGCCTTTTAAACCCATCTGTCATCATCATCATCTATATCGTCACCATCATCATAATAAGTGTAGCTGGAATATTTCAGCTGAGTGTTATCATCATCATCATCACCATCACCATCATCACTACCATCAGCGTCACAACCAAGACCTTGTTCCATAAATCATCATCGGCAGTAAGTAGGATTACACTTTCAGAATAACGTATCGGAATTTAATCTCCATCATCATCATCGTCATTACCATCATCGTAATATTACCAAATGTCGACGCCGCGTTTAAACCATCGTGAGTTATGAGTGCTTAGTTAGACTGGCACCACAATTGTGTCTTCTGATGGTTTCGGAATTCTATCCTATTTCATTCAGGATGCCGTTGCTGGCTATTTAAGACAAGGTAGTGGTAATGTTTGGTTTGGCCTGAATGATGTTACCATTGAGGGTACATTTGAGTTCGTTACTGGTGAACCATTGTCGTATAATAATTTCTTACCAAACGAACCCAGTAACTGGTGGAGCGCAGAGGATTATGGAGGTAGGCCCAACGTAAAGAAATATAGTCGTCTTGTGACCTGACTTACTAGCTGATAGAGCTTTTATTGCATTTAGTCTTGCTGGATTAAAAGTTTTCACAGCTCACCATCGAAATTTTAGTTAAAGTTAAGTCGACTCGTCTTTCCTTGCCATAGAAAAGAAAGTCAAATGCCTAGTTTGTGGTATTTTTGAAGAAATTTTACAATTTGAACAATTCTATTACTTTTGAAGACTATTTATTACATATATATTCAAGACCCATAAATATCATAAATATAAAATATTAAAACTTTATTGACGGCACATGCCACTTTATTGATTTATTAGTTTATTAATTTTAGTTATGAAATCTGATGCTGATTATAAATGGGATAATAGCGGTGCTGATGATAAAAGAAGATTTTTATGTCAACTACCAACAACTGTTTTGTCGAGCTCCATAGGTAATCTACTTCTCAGAATAATTATTTAAGAAATGGTCTTGGAGAGCCACCAGTATCATCGGCCAATCGTTTTCGTTATCGTTGAACAAATTATCTTGGCTAGGGGCACTATATAAAAATTTCATTTTCTAGACACAGAAAAATCGTGACAAATTGAATTAAACAGACATTTGCATGCGAGTAGCATGGTATTTTGTGAATTCAGATCCATCGACTCATCCACACATGCCTCTCTATTACATCTTTCTACGGTGTTTCATTGTAGCGTATAAACGTTGGATTATGGAACGAATTAATTGATATTAATTTGTCATTTTCGAACCAACACTTCTTTATAATCCTAATTCGGGATTTGTTTTGTAAATGTAAACACCGACTGAGCTAAGGGCTATATAGTAGGACAATTTTGATTGGTCGATTGGTATGAAAGGGGTCGTTTTGATTAAAATGCTCAAAATCATGCAAAACAAGTTCGATGAATCAAGCAATTGGGACATTTTATAAAGGTGACCGGACACCATTCCGTATTCTAGTTGCTTTCGAAACCTGTGACTGCTATTCTTATCTGCAGTCATCTGCAACTGATGATCGCTATGAAGTTCAGGTACCTTAAGTTTTGATGTTATTGCCTTGTAGAAAGCTGTGGTTTTGGTGGCAATGGAATGAAAATAGGATCCAGTGGAAAATGTTATGCTATAATCAATGGAGGAATGTCAAGAGAAAGTGCTGAATACAAATGTTTTACCCAGTTCGGGGTTTTAGCACCAATGACTTCAGACGCAGATAAGGTATGCTCTAAACTTCGTCATTTTCTGGGGTTGATTTGGGTCTTGAACTTGAATATACAAAAACAATTGTATGTTAATAGTCTTGTGAAATGCACAAAATCGCAAAACCCTTTCAAATATACCTCTAGAAAGGAAGGACGTAAAACTCCATTCATTTCATTTTCAATCATGCTATTTCAATTCATGTCAATTCTGTCATTATGTGCACTTCCACTGTAGAAACGGCACTGAGGAGACAACGTCTAGTAGGCTATTGGGCAACCCGACATGTTTTCTTTCAAAAGACAAGGTGTACTTTTTTTCCATGCGAGCTCCCCGCCTGCGTTATATTGAAATAGTGATAGACTTCCAATCTTATTACATTTTTGAAGGTTAAATCTTCATTTTCTCTAAGAATGTAATCACCATATTTTCTTGTTTTAGAATGAAATCATCAGTCATCTATATAAATTTGGAATACAAATGGATTATTGGGTAGGGGAGAAAAAAGACAATGATTTCGCAGGTATGATTTTTTTTGTTTTTTAATTTCTTAGCCATATCATATCATACTTTTTTTTATTGTACACAACGTTTCCACAATTTGCATTATTATCATCAGGTGAAAATGGTGATGACAATGTAAATTGTTGAAACGTTGTGTACAATAACACCCAGGAGTAGTATACCATGATATTGGGTTTCGTTATTTAATGTTATTTCTACCTTAAGGATCACTGTCTTCGGGTCAATAGAAATATTAGGTTTGGGAATTTTATATTTCAAATATACACTCCACGAAAATTGGCCCACTTTTCGGACTGACAATTTACCCCATGTAAAAAATATCTAAAAAGATCAAAGTATTTTACATCTAAAAATATCTAAAAGTATTTTACATCTAAAAATATCTAAAAGTATTTAACATCTAAAAATATCTAAAAGTATTTTTCCAGGTATTAGTATTTTCATCAACCCATAGGCAAACTAAGACTCTCAGAAGCTGTAGTTGATATTGCAATTCATACGAAAATAATTGGCAAGACAGACTGTAAATAAACTTCTTACAAAGGTTACATAATACAGCAAACATCTTAGAAGAACTTTTTCAATAAAGAAAGTACATGTAATATTTGTTCAATGATCTTCGTTTGCTAATGATTTAAAACGGAAAAAATTCCAGATTTTCTCCATAGGATTCCGTTTAAATTCAGCTTTTGAGCTATTTTATTGATATTTCAAAACATGCCAAGAAAATCAGTATACTTCCACTTGACATATACATGTACTTGTTTTTATGAAGCAAACATACATCCGTACTTCCGTGTTTCATGGTTTATGTTAGGTTGACTAGACTTGAAAAGCATTGACGAAAAGCATTGTTATTGTTGCATTTGGAATTTCTTTTCAGAATTGGTTTACAATCAACTTTTTAAAACGAACTATGTTGGAGCCTGGGATAACAATGGCGCTGTATGTTTATTGGGTTAGAATCATGTTAATAAGATTTTACATGCGCAAATTATTGACGAATGAATACACCATAATACCTGCAATATAATGTTGAAGGTGTAAAAATCGTTAAATGCCATTAGCAATATATTCCGCAGTACCTTATTTAGTAGAGGCAATGGTCGATATTTCTGTTCTTAGAAACATAAGGAAGCATATATATGAAAGTTGTTCTCAGTGGCGTTTCTTAGAATATTGGGTGGAGGCGCCGAGTAGGTGTCACAGAATTGACAAGGGGGGCCACAGCACTAGGCGTTTAAGAAATCAGTATGATCAAAAATTTGAAACCCGATTTCTGGCCATGCCATCACTTCCCCCCTGGGTGGCCATAGAAACGCCACGGATTTGTTCTTGCAAATGACCAAATTCAGTAGTAGTATGAGAGAGAAAAATATCATTATTGTCCAAGTTTTCAGAAGCAGAATGCGGATGGTAAATTTGTACTGATGATGGTTATTATTTTTCAGGTAACTCTGGAGTCTGTCCTCAAGGTATGTTTTCGTTACAATATATCCACAGAGACATATCGGCTTGTCTAAAACCATGAACTTTATCTTGAGCAACATTTGCCATTGTTTATACTAAATTCTCGAGCAATACCAGTCAGCAGATTGTGGTTATGAGAATGGCAGTTTTCTGTTGTCAGAAATGTGTTATTGTAATGTAGATGTTACTATGCGTGTGTGTGAAAATCTTCCCTATTTCTTCTTATACCTTGATATTATGGGACAATTTTCTGTTGTGATTGGATTGGATTGTACATATTGTGAAGGTAGGAAATCTTATATTGGGCCATATCATCTGATAACAGTATTACATTCCACGAGGAGTGCTTGCCCGAATTACAGTTTTTCTCACGAGCGTCATTGTTTTTAATTCTGTTTTATTTTCAGGATGGGTTTCGTTCCAAGGATCCTGTTATCTGTATACCAGTAAAATAGTTGGTAATTATGAAAAAGCTCAAGAACTGTGCAACGGGTAAGTTCTGTGGAATTGTCTCTTTTTAATCTGGACCTTGGTGGTCATACTCCAAAAAAAACAAATAAATAGTCGAACTATCTGATATAACTCACATAATCTATATGATTGAAGACAAATCAATGTCTGGTATTAATTTTGACGAGCTTAATCTTAAGACTATCGGTGTGAACAATTGCTAGGATACATTCCATTCCAACTATCAATATAATTTTTTAAAGCCGGCTTGAAAGATATTGACGTATTGACTCCAGTCCGTCCGTTCGTCAACATCTCTGTTAATACCAATAAAAGCTACATTTTCATGTAACGTTTTAATCCAATGATCGTATGTGTATTTGGGTTGATGGGTTCTTCGAAGGGACGTCGTTGAAACGATTTATAAGAATCAGGGTATGCTTATGTCAATGTTTTCATAAAAGTCGATGATGGTTCAACTACGTTTTTCAGATTTGCCGCCCTTAAAGATGGGTTCACTTATTTTCATTTATGAAAATGAAAATGCTAATACTTATATGAATAGAAAATAGAGGTGTTCTAATGACTTGGACAAATACCAGTTTGTCTCACATGTCCATAATTAGCTAAATTAAAAGAGAATTACCAGCTAAATTCCAATGAGTGACCGATCAAGATAGGTCAAGAAGTCTTTTTTTTTGTTTATTCCGACTGTATATACATGGACATTTATGATTGGTTGAAACTCTTAATTATATGCAATAAGAACATAATAATATGATTAAGCATACATGATAATTCATTAGAAATACCAACTAATCCAATAGTTTAGTTAATTTGGCACTAAAAAATAAGAAAACCCATCTTTAATTGACCAAATCAATACATGTTAAAATAAACATTAAAGAGGTTTATGGTTCCTAAAATACCGCAGACGAGTTGCAAATTGTCAATATTTTGATTACATGTTTATGAGTTTTTACCCAACATTATGTAAATATCAAAATGACCATTGATTACCGAGATATTGATTTGACATTAACGTTTTATGCTTTTTTGATTCCAAAAATCATTAGTTTTATTTTTACTTGCTGTTGTGGACTTATTTAACCTTGTCTGGTAAGCGGTCTTCATTATTACGATCGCCATCATTTCGACCAATCATACCTTCTCAGAAACGGGATATTTAAATCAGTAACAGTGTTCACATCCCACTGTCGAAATTTGAGCCTTCAAGTCCATGTGTGTCGAGAATTATCAGCGAGTGACATAAATTTTCGTACAATTCTAGGATATTGACAATTATTCAAGACCCAAATCAACACCCGAAAATGTCGAATCATGGCCTTTAAATCAAACGTTCGGTTCCATGCCATCTTTTTTCTTTGTTTTTTAAACTTAGTAAGTTTCGTTTTAAACACTTTCAGTGGCAACAGTAACCTAGTAAGCATTGAATCTAAAGAGGAAAATGATTTTGTCTTCAATTTCGTTAAGAAATATGATGGTAAAGGACAGAACCTGTATTTAGGTTTGTATTTGGTGATATTTCTTTCCAACAATCGGTAAAGAGGTTCAAATAGTCATCGTCGAAACGTTGCAACTTCGTACGTATGCTTTGAATGCAATAGCCACTTTTCTTGTATATATTACGGAATGCAGCGATTCGTACTCAAGTGAATACAGCCATATATCCACCAAAGACATTGTGCCTTTGTGTTCATAGACTTTCTGTCAAGGCCTCTGATTGATTGTATTTGCTGGAGTACAATCCAATAGAAATTTCCATGAAAAGTGACTATTACAGTCGTATACGCTTGCATTGAAAAAAAAAACCAAGGGAACAATTTCAAATATAAAAACGTTTATCCAACTTCGGATGAGTTGTACCATGGCCTGAAAAAAATCCTAATTGTATCTTTCATTGCATTGGATTGTATCTTTCATTGCATTGGATTGTATCTTTCATTGCATTGGATTGTATCTTTCATTGCATTGGATTGTATCTTTCATTGCAGGATATCGGTATTCCAGTATGTTTGATAAGTTTAGATGGACGGACGGTTCCACGTCGGAGTATTCCAATTGGGCAGATGGAAATGGAAAAGCAAAAGTGTCTGGTGGAACTTGTGCTAGAATGAGATCCTGGGATACGGAGCATAAATGGGAAAATACAAATTGCGATGATAGCTGGCTTTTTATAGTGTGTAAAGCCAAGATGGGAAATTAAGATATCTAAATCTAACTTTTGGCATCCATAAAGGCAGTCACAGACCAAAGTCAATTTTGTGTTCTCATAATTATATACTCAAAAGACAACTATGGACCAAAATTAGATTTTTTTTTCAATTGTATACGCACTAAAATTCTGAATCTAACTCATAATTATATACTCAAAAGACAACTGTGGACCAAAATTAGATTTTTATTCATTTGTATATGCACTAAAGCTCTGAATCTAACTCCTTGTATAATCAAGAGACAACTATGTACCAAAATTAGATTTTCATTCAATTGTATACGCACTAAAACTCTGAATCTAACTCATTGTATAATCAAGAGACAACTATGTACCAAAATTATATTTTTATTCAATTGTATATGCACTAAAACTCTTAATTTGATTTAAAATTGTAAACAAAAGGACAACTATGGACCAAATTCAGCATTAAAAAAGTTAATATTTGAATGTTTTTTTTTTAATGTAAATACACTGAGTCTAAGCTTTAAAAAGTGACATGTTAGGCAGGAAATATTTGAAAGGACAGAGGATGTCCGATTTCAGGTACACTTACCGATTGAAGAAGCTATAACTTTTTGAGTATAGCGATAAAGGTGCATAAAAATTGATCTTTCTTCTTAAAGGTGACATTTCAAATTGTCCTAATCGCTTATATACCACGCTTAAGGCGACCCCAACACGCCCTGTGCTAATTTTCCGTTACAGTAGCAGTGTAGTAAGAACGCCTATCTTGTGTAACGGGGTCTTAACAAAAAATCCATATTTAAGAAAGGGTTTATAAATTGACATACATCTTTTAATGGAATTTTGTGTCAAATGAATAATTTTGAAAAAGAAAACAATTGAATAAACCTTATGAAGGTTCTACTTGTACTGTAGTCTTAATGAGTTCTCAAAAGAGCTTTCGAGTAGATATTCTAGGGATAACAGACTGATATAATATGTATATCAAATAGAATAATTATACCAGGGCATTCTGCTGAGAGCGTTTTAAACTATTGATGTCGAAACCAGACTTGACTTTTGTAACAATGTTTATTCAGAAAGTGTACACAAACAAATGCAAGGGGTGAAACATGTTCTGATAATGTTAGTAAAACGAATCAAAAGTGAAAAAAGAAAATATGTAAAGTGGCCCTTACACCATTGCAATTACCAGGTGTTTATGGTTGCTAATAGGAATAGCGGTCATTAACTTCGAACTCAACTCTTAATGAATTTTGAGTTAAGTTCAGACTTTTATTATTCGCAACCATACGCAACTAGTAATCGCTAAGGTGTGGAGGAACCCTTTAGATTATAATGGAAACGAAATATATCATTTATGTAATCTAATCATATATATAATAGAATCTAATAGGAATCATCGAAAGCTTCTAATAGGGAGGGAATCACACACATGTACTTACAATGTTCACAATAATAATTGTATGAAATGTTACTAAAAATACTTAGTTCTTCGCGCGAAGAGGTAACGTAAATCAAATTTTAGCAGCTAAGTTTTCGAAACATCGACAAAATAAGAAACCACATGAAGACAGTTCTTTCTCAGAAAAATAATTTCTTGGAATTTTTTCAAAAATACTTTCTTTGTTTCATGGTGTTTTATTTTCCGATTAATAAAATACAGTCATTGTTATCAGATTGAAGTTTTTGAGTGTTGTCCCTTAAGCATATTGACAAACAGGTTTCTTTGCTGCAGAAACTGGAATATTATCCCAGTGGTTATAGTCTATGTACAATTTATTGTTTTTAGGTTTACATCCTCCACAAACCCTGTTCGTTTCGCCTCCGCAATAACCAACTACCACACTATCGTTAAAGCTCCTGGTTATATTGTGGACAAATCCAGAACTTTTAGCTTCCCATGTGGTATCATTTCTAACTTTAAATCCAGTCCCTCTAAAATCAATTTCGAATTTTCCAATAACTCCACAGGCATCCGGAGGAATGCTTGCATAACAGTCTGCAGCATGGCCAAATAATTGGCTTGACAAAGAGGACTGAATATACCCACTTACCAGGGCTACGGTCATGGTATTGGTCCTCAATTCAACTTTAGAAATGGAGGACGTACCCACCGTGGAGTAGTAGCTACCAGTATCTACCTTTTCACAACCATAACCTCTGGTGTATATCGGTGTGGTAGCTGTATTATTGTTAATTAAGGTTATGTATGACACGGTATCCATCCGTAGTTCAATTTCACAGAAAACCTTCATTGTTTGGTCCAAAGGGATTACGTATACCCAATACTCGTTGGATACTGCTGTTCTATCACAATAAGCCACTTCGTCACAACTTGAAATCGGAACGCATTCGAATTCTGGCCAATTTCCATCGATATTACAAGTTACATTAGCATTAGGACGATATAACGGCGCACATGGATAATTTACAATTTCGTTGAATTCCCAAAGAATGTGCTGATTAAATGCGTCAGCGTTAATATTCTCCACATTTGGTATACCAGTACATCCAATGACTTCACAGTTCTCTCCTGTTTCCTTTGCAACACATAAGGTATTGCTTGGACAAGTAACATATTGGCATCCTTTGGCAATGTTTGCTGGGAAAGATTGCACATCCGCAAATATATACATTTGGTCAGAGATAAATATTCCTTCTCTGGAAGAGTTCAGCTCGCAATCGTCATTGTTCCAATTTATTGACTGGCACAAAGACTGCCTTTTACACAGAGCAGCACATTCCATTAAACCCATGGGTCCAAAATGTTTGATAGATTTTTGCTTCAATTTCTTTCCGTCGATTGTGCCTCGAACCTTTTCTGGAATATTTGATCGGTCAATGCAATAATCTAAGCAATTTATGACACACAACGTTGATAGCAACCAGAATACATATATTACGATCAGATTCATTGTTTTTTCGTTGTGTGTGTTCATTATATCCAAATCTGAAATGTTTAAACCAAGTAACTAAACAATAAAAGTCTTTCAAACAAAATCATCGCTCCTCTTTTCGCGTGACAAATCGATTTGTGGAAGCGCGTAGGCGCAAGTCACTCTCGAAGAATCTGGTAAATTTATCCCTCAAGCTGATTAATGAAATATAATAGACTTAACATGGTGCATATTTTGGGGCAAAACCGTATAAAAAAATCATATTTTTATATTTGTAAGAAATGAAGTTAGAGTACAAACCACTGCCACTGATATCCTGACTGCCACTGATATCTCTCCCTGTCTGCCACTGATATCTCTCCCTGTCTGCCACTGATATCTCTCCCTGTCTGCCACTGATATCCTGTCTGCCACTGATACCCTGTCCCTGTCTGCCACTGTGTTGAGTTACCTGTTTTCGTCAGCAAGGTAAGAAGCACAAAGGGAAGACGTAAATTTTCATTTTGTTTAACAACAGTTCAAGTGATTTCGTATAACTTTATATAAGAAAATGTTTAGGAACAAACATGTATATAACAAACGTCAAACTAACAAAGAAAGACGTTTATTGATTTAAAGATACTTGATAATTGTTTTACGCTGATAAAGGGATATAGCATTATTTTGTTTTATGTATTAAAGGTTAATATTTTTTAGTTTAACTGTTGAAACCATTGTAAAACGTCTTTTCAATCTACTATAAATAGGTTTATTGCAGTGTTTCTTTTCCATGACTACCCTTGTGGAATAGTGTAGATTTGTGTTGTTCTGTGGTGAAGAGTTTCGCGTCAACAGTCAATTGACTGAAGAGTAGATTAAAGTGGTTGCAAAATAAATATATGTAATTGAAATCACGAAAGCAAAGGGCGATGAGAAAATGTAGTTGTGGAAAACTTGCATGGTCAGAAATTAATATAACTATCAGTTGCGGAGCCAAAGGGGTTGAGGCAGAGGGGGCAGTCGCCTCCCTCGCAGCCCCGAAAGGATGTTTTTCTGGCAAATATCTCATAACAAGGTTAGAAATTCGGGCAATCTCAGATATTTCGCACAAACGGACGTAAACTTGGCTACGCCACTGATCACTATGAATGCTGTTGCCAAAGGCATTTATTCTATTTCTTTCTGGAATTGGAGGAGCATAGTGTACCTAATGAATCATACAAACTCCGAGGTTAATCAATATAAATAAGTTTACGTTTTGGACTTTATCTGCGAATTCTATCGATTTTATATTTGAACTGAAATAATGAGCTTAATGACGTTCTTAAGAATAAAAATCACTTTATGTTCTTAAAACTTCCACATGCTTTATTAAAGAGACAGATTGACTATTTTGGGGGGTTGATTTTGGTCTTGAATATAATATGTAAATAGTCAGAAAATATCTCAAACTAGGGGGGTTACCTCATTTCTATAATAAACCTAAATATATGATTTACACACGTTGTTGACCAAATTATATGTTAGAATAGACCAAATCAAGTCTATTTTCAAAAAATTTCTTGTGTAAGAACTTTATCAGAAGTTCAGTATGAGACTTGTGCCAATGAACACATAACAGTCGGATTGTTAATCTCGACCTCGATAGTTGGTTTCGTATGTTGTCTCGGTTGTTCATTTTGCTAACGAAGACAACATTGATTTCGTTTCGATTCCCCGTGTTAACAATGCAGGTGGAGAGACTGACAAGGAAAAGGGTGACCAGGGGTCCCACAACAATTATAAATCGAAAAACAGTAGGCTATCTATCTTCATTATCCTGGAAGGTGTAGACGAGGACATCTCGTTTCAGGCAGAGCCGTATCTCTATAGACGAGATTAACTGTGGTCTGTGTATAGGTAAGGTTACGTCCCTTTAATAAATTCCTCGATTATCGTTCTTTATAGGAGCAGTTTGTTTACGTTAATAAATTAATATTAAAAACTTTAGTATTTCAATTTATTGCTTACATTCTATTTTAACAGCAAATTTTTATGGTAAAATATTAGTATTTAATAAAAAATGTAGGTTTATAGGAAAATAGATACAAAATATTCCAATATTTTACATAAATGCTCCCTCCCTGTCTGTACTTCCGGTAGCCATTATTATTTTTAGCGTCCGTTGCGACGATGTCAACTATGAAAATTAATCTGATTGAAGAGAATTTCTATCAAAATCAAGATATTCTGTGGATTTTGAAGAAGTCAAAACACATCGTTGAAATTTTAAGATAGATTTAGGATTTCGGTTCCTCATATCAAGTTATTTTTGTGTTTTATAACTTGTTGACATTTTTTTGTCATTTATCTTGTGGGTATTGTGGAATTTTGACTTGTCATAGACTGTTAGACAATCGATAAGGATATTCAGCGAAACGAAGAATTTGATTGTTTTCTTTCTAAAAATTTATTTGTATTATTAACATTGATAACTTTGTGATTGATTGGATATAATGTGTTACTTTTCAATCTGGAAACTTAACATTGAACCAACAAAAATAAAATACTAGCAATGTAAAGTGCTCATATCTGTTTCCATTTAAGGTAGGTTTATGATTTATCATAATCGTTTCACCTTTGAGGGGATGGCTAGCTATCATTATGCTTGATTCTTCCTCTGGTTGATGCCCACACCTTTATTTAAAACTGATGTGGAAAACTCGCAATCTAAAGTTTGGTACTGGTACACGATTTTGTACGGCGCTAACTCATCATTTTTGTCTCACCTTCTCCTTCTTGAAATTGATTTTTTTTATAACTTGATAATTTTCCTTCCAACATGAAACCATCTAACATATCATATTACTTTTAAAAACCATTGGAATTTAAAAAAGACAAAAATTTAAGTGCAAAAAAAGTTTCCAACAGCAATTATCAATTTTTAAGTTGTATTCTGGTTTATCAGGAATAGTACTATGATAATAAAAAGCATGTTAAAATTCATTTTTACTTTTGTGTTTGTTAGCATTTCATAGCACCTTTTGTAAATTTCTAAAAGTCTTGGAATGGCCAAACATTGTCAACATAAAACTTGCTTTGCATATGAAGTGGTTAATCTTAAGTAAGAAGAGTTTAAACCAATTAGTAAGCTTAACTAATTAGAATTTTAACAAATGATTTAATCTTTTTAATCTTACTCACATACCCTCTTGTCAATCTGCCATTAAACTGTATTTCATTTCAGGTTTATTTATTAATGACATTTTATGAGAAATAAGTTTGCAATGTTTTGAATGCAAAGTAAGTCAATAACTTTTTAAATTCTTAATTTATAACTGGGAATTTGGTTGATCTTGTGACAGAAATAATCTAAAAGCAACTGGATTTATTACAACTGCTAGCATCTTGATTTATCTGGAAGATCAACAAATAAAAACCAAATTCTCAACCCAAAGATTCACATTTATTATTCATCGCAAAATATCAAATAAGGTAACACTATAAAGGTTATCCACTGAAACTTCAATAATTTAGGAAATCAAATTAATAGGTTGTTCAAAACAACGGGTGAACGGGTTTTTTTTAATTTTGATGTGATTCCAATGATAAGATAGGAAGAAATACCAGTACCTAAAAGTTTGATTAAAAACTAGATCAACATTTTCTTAGCAAGTTTATTGTGATATTGGATTTTGTAGCCAACACAAACTTGTAATGGTCCAAAATTTATTTCAGAAAACTAAAATGGCTACTGATACTGATCATATGCGTCCAGCCTCTGTGCTGACTAGGGGCGTACAAATTACAGAATTTAAAGAAACCAATGTGAATCCTGAACCAGTGTTTTTAGAAGAGTCGGATGTTTTACTGGAACAGTATCTTTCTCCAAGGAAATTAGTAAGTTTAAGCTTGATTTTTGAACCTCAAAGCTTGAAGCTTAAATATTAGTACATGAAATTCCATGGCTCATTACATATCACGGAGTCCATGATGCATTGAACACTTTATTGTGTGAGTGACCTTGGTCAAATTTGATTGGATTCTTTACATCATCGTGAAGATATTTTAACCAATGAAAAGTATTATTACTTTGCAGTGACCAAATGAATTATGAACATAACTCAAAGGGAAATAATTGATCTCAAATGACAAAAATTAAATTTTTTTCAATTAAACTCAAACACCTTCTCCAGACAACATGTCTTTGTGTACCATCAATAACTGATGTTGTCCTCCTTATTTTAGAAAATGTTAACAGGGGTAGATAATTTAGAGGAAGTGACATCATTAGAATTAAAAGTAAATACCACAGAAACTAGTTTAGGAAATTTCGGTTCGTTATTACCGAATTTAACCCAGTTAAAAATGTCAGATAGTGTAATACATTCTATAAGGTAAATTTATTTAGATTTTAGCTAAATTACCTATTTCTTATTTGATATCCATGACCCTTTTCAGAGTTAAAATCAAACTTAAAGTTTGTCTGCAATTCTAAAGTATTAATGTCCTAAAAATCTCTTTTTATCATTGATAACGACTGCATTAGGTTGCTGAAATTTTTTTGAAAAATATGTGTAGGAAACTTTCAATTAGGCTACCAATTTGTCATGGTTTATCATTCATAAAATACTTATGACAGGAATGTTTTCTTTTTGACAGAGATATAGGGTCCTCATTAAGAGGTGTGCGTGTATTATGGATGTCACAATGTGGTTTAAATGAAGTAGATGGTATATCCTCTATGACAAGCTTACAAGAGGTGTATTTACCATACAATGAAATCTCTGATATAAGCGCACTCAGTATGTTAGATGATTTACAGATTTTAGATTTAGAGGGGTGAGTAGTTCAAGGGTTATTTATTACATAATATAAGGTGAGATAGAAATTAGGCCCATGATTAGTACAAGCTTAGTTAAAGCTTAAAAAAAGTACTAAAGTGGAAGTAGGCACCTTTGATTTGGCGTATTTTGAAATATAGCTTTATAGTCTAAAATAAACAATTTCATAAAACAATGATAACTCCCTATATTAGATTAGAAGAAAAAGCAAGAATCTTCACAATGTCAATCTATTACAAACTTTGTCCTATGTCTTGAATGCAATAGCCACCTTTCTGGTATCATGAAAATTTGTAAATGAAGCGAAATGATAGGATTGTACACAAGAGAATACAGTCAATCAGAGCCCTTGACACAATATGACAAATTGTTTACAAATTTTCTGTCGAGGACTCTGATCAGCTGTAGGCCCTATTCTCTGGTTTACAATCCAATCAAATTGTTTCATTTACAAATATCTGTGATTCAAAAAAAGGTGAGTTTTACAATGTGAACAGAAATTGATCATATAACTGTGTAGAAAAGGAACCATTAAAATTTTTGGATGGAAATCTTGCTGACTGGCATTAAAAGATTTGTAAATAAAACCAACTGTTTCAAATTTCAGTAATAACATAGATGATATAGCTCAGATGCAGTATTTAGCTTTATGTGATAAATTAACAAGGTTAACTATAGAGGGAAATCCTGTTTGTACCATGAGAACTCCAGATAGCGAGGAGGTAAATAGTTTAATTCTACTGAGAGTTGCCTCCCTCTTATGTAGGAATGGAAATGACCACATATGAGTGCCCAGATTGGTGGGTTCTGCATGTTCTACATTCATGAAATTAACAGGACATTCAATAAAACTTCACAAGTGCCAAAAAAAAACCAGACTGGTGCAGAAAGAATTCAAAATAGTGGAGAGGGAAATTTTTGAATGTGACATCTGATTCTGTACCGTTTGATTGAGGCAAGAATTGGAACGGAACCTGATCAGAACTCACCAATCAAGTGTTACAATTTGTATTCAGCTTGTTTATTGCTCTTCTGCTCTTAATTAGGCTAATGTAGATTGCGCTTATTGATCACAATGGCATACTATATGCAATGATGAAATTTTGCCTTGACTACCACATTAGCCTACCCTTTTTGGATTCACATCTTAAGAGGTTTCAGTTTATCCAAACAACTAGATGTTTTGTCTATGTCAGCCCCTCATATCGAAGCAGGGGAAAAATCTGACAATACTATCTTGATTAATGCTGGAATCAATCCCCAAACCTCTAGGTCCTAACTCATTCAGACACCAAGTCCACTATTAAAACTTATGATTTATTGTCTTATTTGTTAGCAAAACTATAACTATAGAGAAGAGGTTCAGAAGATTTTACCTACTGTTGAAATATTAGATGATGAACCCTTAGTCTCTGGATCTCAACCCTCCATGTCTATCAATGCTTTTGATGCTGATTGGGAATATTTAGAAGAACTTCAGAGAGATTCCTTATTTCAATCTCCATCAGAAGTTCCTGAAGAAACAGGTAAATTTTTAAGACTTTTTCAATCTGAGTGAAATTTGATTGTTTAATTTGTGGGTTATTTCACACATTCATGAAGATCATTTGTTAGATCTGCAAACAAAGAACCAAACTTAATATTTGCAATATATACAGTACAGTAATATAGATAAGGATGCAAACAGTATCGAATCTTCTAATAGATCCAGATCCAAAACTAACTACCATGACTACCAACTACTGATTAATATCAGCCTCTATTGGAAGTAGACCAACCTACACATTGTAAACAGTATACTGTTCTACCCCAATTAGGAGAATGTACCACTTAATATTCTTTTATTACAGCCACTTCCATAGAATCCACTCCATTACGTCCAGCAACAGCTTACAGACCTGGTTCAGCACTACGACCTTCATCAGGATTCCGTCCTTCATCAGCTTCTAGAAGACCTGCCACTATCAGTGGTAGACCCTCAACTAGTATCCGTCCTACAACAGCTTTTGCTGAACGTCCAGTGTCTAGTGGTATGTAGTCTCATAATCTGTGAAAATTGTCTTTTTCTGGAAGAAGTTGACAAACCCAGTTGCAGAGTGCCATCAGGTTTCTAAAAGTGAGAATGCCTTGCTTTGCTAATAACACCTTTCTATAAATGATGTCATTTAGATTGTTGGTAGAGTCGTTGTAGTATTTCCTCCTTTCTTCCTAGATGCTATAGATGGTATGAAAGATGGTGGTGCAAGTGTTTTAACACAAGGTGGCGTTATTTGTGGTAATCCATCCAGAGCGTTACGAGAGAGAAGAAAAATAACACAATCAAAAGATGAAGTAGAAACAGACCAGCAAGTAAGATGTTGCTCAAATTCCATAATTTTCTTTTGCATGACTACCATGAACCAAACTACCCCATTAGCTCATTAATTCATGGATGCAAGAATTTTGTTGTTGAAATTTTATTATCATGATGGTCATCTAGGAAGTAAAATTCCATTATGTTTCATTTGAATGACATATCTTTTAGGAATATAATGATGATATTGATAAAGAAAATGATAAAAGTATAGTTGATGAGTTAAAAGAATGGAGACAAGATCATAGCAAGTAGGTTGATAAATTGATGATTAGTTCTTTGATGATGATGTTTTCAATGTTTGATCAATGTTAATCAGATAATTTTTGTCTGTTTAGTCCAGCCTTTGTTTCTCAATGCACAGTTTTACAAAACAATATGAAAGGATTAGTAAAATGTTTCCTGAACAGTACATTGTTTGTTGTTCTGTACAGTACATTGTTTGTTGATCAGTATAGTACATTGTTTGTTGTTCTGTACAGTACATTGTTTGTTGATCAGTATAGTACATTGTTTGTTGTTCTGTACAGTACATTGTTTGTTGATCAGTATAGTACATTGTTTGTTGTTCTGTACTGTACATTGTTTGTTGTTCTTTACATTTGAACATTGATTTAATTTAACACTTCAGACGAATAGAACAGATCCAAGCATCAAAGAAGGCTCAAGTATTAGTGATAGACCACAATGATATTGTTGAAGAAGATGAAGATGCAGAACTGAACAGTCCACCTAAATCAGTCATCAATTTAAAAATCACAGAAAAACAGATGAGGCAACAAAAAAAGAAATCTTCAGGATATGGAGACAAGCAAGATGAAAGTTTTGAATGTATAGATGGTGAAAATGAGACAATTCGAAACATGCCCATGACTTCCAACAGTCCTCTCATCAGCACCAACTCTTCCAAATTAGGGGATATGCCATCTCCAGTACCAAAGACCAAATCAGACAGGTTGGTCAATTTTATTTACACTGCCTAGTTTATATGTCTGGCTCTATTACTAATTAGTTATTAGTTATATTTTAGCAATACAATATATCAAATATCTGTTGGACAGGGTTATAATTTAACAGGTAAAGTTGAGACCTGTTGGTACACCTTAAAAAGGTGGTCTATATCAGGACCTTGTCATTAGTATGACAAGTAGGGATCCTATCAATGGGCATACTAACAAACCTCTTTTTAATTTACAAAACGTCTTTGTTACATTTGTTATGGATGCTGAAAATCTAATTCAAACATATTATTTTCTCATTTCAGATATTCTAAATCCAGTTTACATCATAATAACCCTCAAAGAAATGAACCCCTCCCCTCTACATCACATAATGTTATACCAGCTTTATCTCAACCTAGACCCTTGATTAAGGGTGAAACTAGAATGAGACGACAACTTCCTCAAGTGCCAAGTTTACCATCAAAACCACCTGCACCAAGAGTGTAGTTTTGTTTTCGCGGTCCTTTAAAATGCCTCATAGAAGCATTAAAAACACAGAACATGGCCTAAAAATAAGGCAAAAATCTCAAATATTTTAGGGTGTAAATCAAAATTTGTTGCCTGCTTTCAACCTAATTGTAAGAGTGATTGCCCTAAAGACAAATATCACCACTGGACATTTTGAAAGTTTAAGTGAACATGACTGGTAAATACATCCAAATCAACAACTTATTAGATTGGGCCAAGTGAAATTGGGCTAAGACTTTGAGTTTTGGAGCTTGTACTTTGAGTTTACCATAAGGGCATGAAGATGTAATAGTTTGTAATAACCTAAAATGACTAGCAAACTGTTGCCTCAATGTTATATGAAAGCAACAGATTACATGAGCAGTATTATTCAAATTTTTAGCCTATTGTTTCATAGTTGGTACTAATGCCTGAAAAAGTAAGCTAAAAATAACAAGAACGCCAGAAAACCACAAAGATTATACTTACATATACAGTATAATTGTATAATGCGCACACTTTCTTCTCCAGCAGATATGTCAAGTAAATCTAAAACTTTATAGTCAAGGCAGAACTCTCGGTTGTTTTGGATTTCCTTCACTTAAAAGTGTGCGTCTACATTTTAAGATGAATTGAATATGCATTATGAGATTATAGATTGAATCTTATATATATCTATGGTTGTTTTCCATATACAAGTGTGTTGTGCTCAAGTATAATATATTCATATACCATATCAAATCATCACTATAACATAATTAAGAAGATCATATCACAGTTGGCGCATAGATAAAGGCATGGCATCAGTAAAGGTATGACGGAGCCTTGAAGTGAAGTGAGTACTTAGTGTATCACATAATGTTAAGAGCACAGTAGTTTACTTGTTTATAGATTCTATTTTCTCAATCACTTATTGTGATAGATAATAATCCATAGTCTTGATCCTGATTATTTTCACACTATGTTTGAATTGTGTGGTTACTATGGTTTTTTATTTCTTTATTTCGTTGTTTTCAATAGCGAGTCGGGTTTTCAATAATTTCCGCGTAAAATTCACTTTCATACGTGCATTTATAAGTACTTTAAAAAAAACCATGAAACACTATGAAATAACAATACGATGAATATTATAGAAAAAATTGAAAAGCAAAAAATGAAAGAAATTCAATGTTTTTTTTTTTATCAAAAAACCGAGATATTGCAAAACCAACAAGGGTTTATATGAGTTATCAATCAAACATAATGAAAAAAATTAAACAATTCGCTAAATGATGACCAAAGGTATAAAAATTGTGGGACGAGATATCCTTTTTTGGATCATATAATTTCGAACAATAATGTTGGCAATGATGTCAAACGGGTTCTAGTTGGGCCTGTTGATAGAAAGTTATGTTAGTTAGCTCGAATAAAACATTTGTCATGGGAACAGAGTTCTCCTTAAACACATTTGATCCATTAAGGTTATATTACGTCTTTGATAAGATAGATCGAGATGCATGTTAGCCTGAAGTTATGGATAACCGAATCTTATAGAAGTATAAATTTGTTGAAATTAGATAATATTAGAGATAAAGTTATTTATTACATGCGTGTTAATGTGTGTGTTATAAATTGTAAATATTATTGTTAATGTAAATAGAATGTAAATATTATGTATGTATTTATTTAGATTTTAATTTTGAAAGAATCCTAGCATTATTTACAAGACATAGTGCCTGTTATGTATAAAAATATGAAGTGACACTATCATGTTTTGTTTTGTTGTTTTGATGATGGTGGAGATATTCAAGGGAAAGATTCGTCAAAGTATTGGGTTTGCCTTGGTCACAACCACAACGACACTGGGGGCTGAGATATCGACTATGGTCACTTTCTGAGACAATCGGCTCCATTTGACTTGAGTACCGAGTCCTACCTTGACTGTATGGAAGACGGTTGTTGTCGGTCGCCTGGACTATTGAATCCCTGGACTCTAGAACATCGTCACTTAAAATTGGCTGGGTTATGAGTTTTCAAGCTCATGCCGCTTTAGGTTACTGTATAATATGAAGTATCTGGTTTTGGTCACGTCTTATACTTATGAATATAATAGAACTAAAACTCGTCCCTTTTTCATGAAGATCTGGCAGAATTACCGATATTTTAATTCCATTTCAACTTCATTACTTTCGTTCATCTATCATTCTCGATTCTCCAGACAAAAGGAGGTATGCCAATATCTGATTTACTTAATACCACTCTTATGTAATGCCAATTGATTATAGGATCCTGCTGGCCAGGCAGGTTCTTCTGGCAATACAGGAACAGTCCTGTTCCCCATCCCTCAAATTTAGGCTGGCCGAGCTTCCCCATACCCCAACCCATATAGCTTCCCAGAAAAATAAGGTTCTATGAACAAACTAAAAACGACAGTATGAAAATGCTATAACTACATAACTTTAATAATTAACAATATACGAAAGGAGCCAATGCCAAATAAAAGAGATCAATGAATGGGCCAATCATTGTGACTGTATTAGGTTGTATAGTGGTACATATAATTTGTCCATATCTGCACTGTACACTATCCAGTTGTCAAATATAACTGTACAACAACGATGATCTGTACACCAGGAATTGGCTAATACATGTCATCTGTACAATTTGATGTTTGTACAATACAATTGTAAACTTCAGTTCCAGTTTGAAATTATCGTTGTGCGTCGAAATTTATGTACACCATACACCATTATACGCCACCAGTATCAAGTTGTTGTTAAAACATACCGAACACGTTGTACAACATGTTGCTGTACATATTGTAATAATTATTAACAGCGCTGTAAACTGGCTGGTAAAAATTGTTGATCTCATCATTGTCGTACATGAAAAATGCTGGATCTGAAATAGTACAACAGCAATTTGTTCAACTTCCTATTTTTCGGGTCCAGATTACGCCAATGAAAATGGGCAAAGTCATGCACTGTGCAATGGGGTTTTTTTCATGTCAAGGTTAAGTTTTTCAACCAATGTAAAAGGTAGAAGAACAATCTCGGAAATACGACATTAGTAAAACTGAATTACTTTATTTGATTGTCCGTTCCCTTATTTTTGTGATACGTCACTTCCGTAATCTCAGAAGTCAATTTGAAAAACTGTATTGTATGTATTGACATCTGGCAATAAGCAGAATCGTTAGAATGTTCCAATAACTAAATTATGTCTACTTACGTAAGGGATAACTGAATGCAACAGCAACCATGGCGAAAAATAAAACGAGAGCAACACAGTTGGCCATTTTTAAGATAAACTGAAAGATAAACAAGTAATTATTAAGTCTATTAGAAGTTCCATTCCACGTTATTTGCAAATAAATCATTTTTTTTTGTTCTTTAAGGCTAAAAATATTGAGATAACCATGGATTGAGGATATACTTAACAGTACGTTCAGCATAAAATATAATAAACTTTGCATATAAGCAGATATCCCTTTAAACAAATATAGATATCAAATTCTTACCTTAGTGCGATAATGCAAACAAAACTTTGCTGAATACTGAAGATGTAATTCCCGTATAGGTTTGTTCGAGTATGATTTGCTGGTGGCTTCGATTGCTTATATACCTTAGTCGGAAAAATGGCGGACATCAAACGAATGTATTTATCATACTTCTTGACACTAAGAAGAATACGTCATGTCAACCATGTCACCCCCATTGTCATGTTAATTGTCTTTAAATATGACTAATCAGTACAAAAAGTTCTATACAGTGACCAGCGTAAAATATGTGTTAGGGTCAAATCCCCTTGACTCCAACAATACATATACATTTTCATTCCTGTCATTTTTCAGTCATGTACATTCCTTAAAAACAACATGCCTTGGGTGAAATTTTTTAACATTCTGATTTGCGCATTAATTCATATTTATAGTTTTGTCTATTGAGAGTGGTTTACATACCAATTCAATCATATTTTCCGAAGTTTTACACCAAATGCAAGTTTCCTGTTTACAAAATTTGTCTACGACCCGATTTTTTCACATTCATATTTGAATTTTTTTAGCCATGATTAGCAAGGAAAAATTACAAAATGGATTTGAAATTTGGCTTGAAGTAAACATTCTTTTTACAATATTTGTTGAAACTTAACTTTCAAACGACATATCCCAAGTAATATACACAATCATGTTCATGTATTTCAGTGCAACAACTTGCCGACTTTTAGCTTAACATGCCAATTCGCCAATTCTTTGCTGGGACCTGCCGCTGGTTGGATATTCCTTGAAATTGAGAAAACTCTGGCAGAACAAATTGCTTGTACCAAAATCATTTGCTGACATTATCATGTATTTCTGTTTTGACCAGGATCAACATTACATTGTGCAATGAGGGAAATTTTGTCAGTATTGCAGAGTTGGTCTAACATCATTTTCGAAAGATCTTTATCACAGCCTATAGCCAACATGCCAATGTGTAAGGTGGACTTTGTTCAATCACCCCATCGTGTGTGTATATCTGAGAAATTTGTAGCTTCTATTTGCATTATTTAGATTTCTTGTCTAGTAAAGGGCTTGTCACAATCGCAATACCATGTGGCTCGTCACGTCAGAGACGTTATTATCTGATAAGCCAAATGATTATCTTCTGGAACTATATAGGCATTGAATTTATTATTTATCATTCTACTTTTCTGCACCATGTGGGCTATTGAAGACGGGCAACATCCTGGATATTTTAAAAGGACAGCTCTTTTTTTTATCTGTCGAGGAATCTTTAACGTCCTCAGCCTGTAGCATACGGGGCCTTGGTTTATTGTCCCATCTGAACGACTAAACGCTTTTTCCATTATTGAACCCTGGACCATCAGGTTAGCGAACAAGCGCCTAACTCACTGAGCCACTGCGGCTCTCTGTCTATTTCACTCACATGTAGAATACATGTTTACTTGTCTTTTGTATGTGAAATTTGAACTATGATGGCTGCAACATATTCTGTCCATTTCAGTGCTTTTTCATAAATGTTTTCGTTACCTAGGCCAGTGCTTTTATGAGAATATGCTCTCATCACCAACAAAAGCTAATGTTGATTAATTCCAATTTTGGGTTAGTTTCAGATATATTGACACATGAACGGTATACGAACGTTGATTGGTCGATCAGTTGGTACTCTATCCGATAATTTGAAACATCGAGGCTGTAGTGCAAGCCATATAAGGGGGCGAAAGGGGGTCTAGGTGGACTTTAAATACATTTGAAAGCAAGACACTTCATAATTTTAGTTTTTGTTTCAAAAGTGAGGCATATGCCTCCATTACGCCATGGCCTTGATGACGGTAAGCATGACGAAAAAATCATTCTGTAGCGATCAAAACTTTATTTTTTTACGCAAGTATATATAAGTACATTCTAAAGCTTCATACATTTGTTTGACCGAGTTCTTGGACAAATTGTGACCAGATTCGACGTTGTTTGGAAAGCCTTCCAGACGATAACACATTTTTCCACGAACACAGTCAAACAAAATAATGTATGACGATATTTTAAACAAATGTATGATCTTGTGGAAGGGGCTGACGAAACTATTCGTTGCTTGGCCATTCCAGGTTTAGGTGTATTTTGACCTCAAAACATGGGTCAAAGGTGTAGTCATTTATTAAAAACAGAGGCCAAGTCGGGAACATAAACCATGTCCCCAGAGTTTAATGTTAATGAACATATTAGTGTTATGACACGACATTCGACATACAGTCATTTGTTTTACTCGCTCTTATTGCGTTATCAGACATTGTAACTTGTCAAGGGTGGATGTAAGATGGGGCTCTAATTATTACTAAACATAATTAGAGTTCTTGGCTTTAGGGCAATTGTCTGAGATATGCTCTTTCTTTTTCGTCGCGTCTGTTGGTCGAACCATTAACAATATAGCTCCAGGTCCATTATCAAAGAACTATAATCCAGATATTTACCAGAAAAAAGATACTTTTTTTACCAAATTAAAATAAATATTTATGATCGAATTTCTTAAAGTTATACGGTAGCAATAAAGTCATCCTTGTTCAAGGTTTTTGATGCCCTGAATCCATCTGTAAAGCTGGATCAACTATGAGGAAGAAGTAATCTGACAATCTGTGTATGATATGACTGATTTACTTGAAGCCTAACAATTATTTTACAAATCACACAACTGATGAAATTAAATACCGTATATTCGCGTGTATAGTGCGCAGTTTTTAAAGTAAAAGCGCTCGATAGACTGGGGTGCATATTGTTGACAGTGGCAAATATTACCACCGTTAGTTATGACAATACGTCATTTTGTAATTGATGGAAACCAATAACCCACATAATAAAAGCCCATCAATGTGACAAAATCGGTGTGGTATATTATATTTTTTTTTCAGTCGTGAATTTTGACAAATATGTATATTGCAATATGTTTGTAAAAGCTGTAGTGGCACTATGATGGTTATAAATCAAAAAGACACAGACAGTATTAGGGGCATTCTATATCAAAACATTCAGATGATCACAATAAACAAATCATATTTTGATATATGTATGTAATTTATTTACTTATTCTTATTTAATTTATAATATATCACAATTTACATAGCATAATATGCATTACTTGATATACAAGACAAAGAGATAAACTGAACTGAAACTATCTGGTGAGCTTTTTTCTATCACAGAAATTGAAAATTCCCTCTTAAAAGCTAAAATCGAGTTCTTAATACTATAGGAGGTGACAAATTTCTCTTTATAAAAATATAATTAATTATTCTTATTAGAAATGAAAACTAGCAATTACAATTCTTCATTAATCTTCTTAACGAAGCAGGGATCAAGCAATGTTCTTCTTTATAAAGTGAGACTCAAAACAAGATTTCTTTATAAGATTCTTTATAAAAAAAATCGAGCAAATTCTTCCTGATATAATACAGAAATAGCAATTGCAATTCTTCATGTAAATGAGAATCCCTGATTCCTTTTTATGAAGCATGGATCAAGCAGTATTCTGGGAGTAGGAATAAAAAAGAACATTACTTATAAAATGAAAATTGAGTAATTTTTCTTGATAAAATAGAGAAATAGCAATTCTTCATTACAAAATGGCAACTGGGAGCAAATTTTCATATAAATGAGAAAGGAGCAATTCTTCTTAATGAAGCAGGGATAAAACAATATTCTTCTTTATAAGGTGGGATTCAAAAGATGATTTTTCTTACTAATTTTACAGTAAGGACGGAAGATATTTCAATTCATTTGACAATTTAGATTTACCAATTTTGATTTTTTAATTACAGATTCTAAAATAATAAACAACCCCAACAAACACATATGTACAATAAACAACATAAAAGCTATTTCTATATTTGAACAAAAATAACAAAATGAGCCATTTATTAACCCTTTAAAATAATCATAGAATTGAACATCCAAGTAAAAGATGTAAAGAGCAGATAGGTTGCTTGCATAATATCACAGAAGTATCTTAATCAAGACCTGTAAAATCTTTGAATGTACCAAATTTCTTCTAAGGATATTCATGGTGTCATATATGCTGAGCATTTCTGACTTTCATCGGTATGAAATATCCAGGTTGTTGGGAGTAAGCAAGTTTTCGACTAAGTTTATTGGGTCATCAGTACATAGGAATTTAAAGGGCAAATTAACAGTGAGCTAAAGGAAATACTTTTTATTACATTATTAGAATTTACTATATTTTAACTTAAGTTTGTAATAAGGGAACAATTTTAAATAAAATTATATAATAACCCTTAGAAGACAATTCAATCCATCATTTCTTTTTTACTGATAAAGTAATTGATATATATCATAATTTGGTAGCCCTGAGGAATCTAAGACTAGGTATTACAATTACTCCTATTATTTAAAAGATTCGTTCCTATTATAAATCAATAGATTAGTTCTATGGAATTAAACAGATCTCTGTATAAAATCAAACATATTTCATTAAGCTGATCTCAATCTTTGTATAATATTAAACAGATCTCTGTATAAAATTAAACAGATCTCTGTAAGAAATTAAACATATTTTTTATCAAACTGATCTCAGATCTTTGTATGAAATTAAACAGATCTCTGTATAAAATTAAACATATTTTTATTAAACTGATCTCAGATTTGTGTATGAATTAAACAGATTTCTGTATAAAATCAAAAAGATCTCTGTATGAAATTAAACAGATCTCTATATAAAATTATACAGATCTCTGTATATAATTAAATATATTTTATTAAACTGATCTCAGATCACTGTATAAAATTAAACAGATCTCCGTAAGAAATTAAATAAATCCCTGCATGAAACTAAACAAATCTCTGTATGAAATTAAACAGATGTCTGTATAAAATTAAACAGATCTCTGTAAGAAATTAAATAAATCCCTTCATGAAACTAAACAAATCTCTGTATAAAATTAAATATATTTTATTAAACTGATCTCAGATCTCTGTATGAATTAAACAGATCTCCGTAAGAAATTAAATAAACCCTGCATGAAACTAAACAGATCTCTGTATGAAATTAAACAGATCTCTGTATAAAACTAAATAGATCTCTGATTGAAATTAACCAGATCTCTATATAAAATTATACAGATCTCTGTATGAAAATAAATAGATCTTTGCATGAACTTAACCATATTTACTTATCTTAGGCCTGGATAAAAATCTCATCATAGAAATTATTCGAAAAATTTTCAGAGAGATCTAAGAGAATTTCAAAAGCATTGTTATTTATTACCACCAAATCAAATGTGCTCAAATTATTAAATCTTTGTACATTTAGAAATCCCAAAGATATTGGCCCCATACGGTGCTTGTTACATACAATTCATAATATCTTAATTCAAATAATTATTTGAAAATATGCACAAAAATAAAAAGAACACTACAAATTTCAACATTATTAAGATAAATAGATGTATAATATAATAACTCTTAAAGTTATGAATAGTAATGCCATGGCAAAATCCATAATTGACAAATTATTTTCATTAAAGATTAAGAGACTTTAAATTATGCTCTGCTGTTGTTGAAGGTTTTATGACATCATTAATCCTGCAATCAAAGATTACTATGGACCCAGATTTTTCCCAAATTTCAAAGAGTAGGATGTAAGTCAATATATGTCAATTGGCATGGCAATACCTGAAAACAAATCAATAGAACTTTCTTCCCTTTTTCCTCTCTTAACTTAAGAGAAATCTAAGTTATTCAAGATCAGACCAATATACAGTCCCAGTATGACTGCAACCAATACAAAGGAAATGACACCAACAATGATGCTAATGTTGATCATCTGTTTAGCTGACTTGGCATTCAAATTAGCTCCTCCAATATCTCCTCGAGCATAAGATGATTTAGCCTGAAAAAATAATGTGGATAATTTTCTACAAATCATTTTCTAAAAATAGGTTTCATAACCTAAGTTTCTGTACTGGGGAAAGATTTTTTTTCGTTTTTTTTGTGGATATCATAATTTTCCTTTATATATCATGATGTATGTATCTCAATATTTCTTTAAAATGGTTTCTAACACAAAATGTTGCTTTCTGGTCAATCAAAGAGTTTTAAATGTAAGAAAAAACAAAAAGTCAATACAAAAAATAACCATCTTCAATATCAAGAAAAATATTGAGTTATTTGTTGAACTTGTGTAGATATAAATTAAGAAAATATCAATATCAATAATGATAATAAACCAGTAGTAATACTAGAAAATGCCCAGCGTTAAAGTCAGAGCTAACAGATGCATTTTTCAAGGCTTCAAATGTCAAGAAAACACTCTCACCTCACTAGCTTTGAGAATAGCAATGATACCAGTTGGCCAGAAACAACATAATGTGACAAAGACAGCAGCACACATATGATCAGGGGGTGGCGGGCCAGCTGCTGTGTTTGGAGGTACATATCCTTGATGAGTTACCTGAAAACAAAGAACATGAATTATAAAATTAAAAACATAACGGAATAAATTCAAAATAGGAGAATGTTACAATCTACTTGGTTTATTTTTTACTATTATAACGTTAAGTTTATTACATTTTAGTTTATTGTCCTAAACACTTCTTCCTTGCCAATATCTGCATCACTGTTAGGGATAACTGACTTGTCCCTCAGAGAAGAAACACCATGGCTCCCAACTGTCTTATGGAATTAGATAATTAGAAAACTTATATTTCCACATACCACAACATTAGGGTAGTTGTAAGCTGGTTGTCCAGGCTGTGTGTATGTATATTGTCCAGGGTAACCATACTGTACTGTAGGTGGGGGTCCATATTGTTGTCCTGGTAAGGGTTGCTCTGGATATTGAGGTGGTCCTGCAGCTGTAGCTTCAGTGTAACTTGGAGGCTTCTGTCCTGCTGTAAAATATAATGCCAGCATTATTTGGAGTGAAAAGAAAATAGTGAAATTTGTGAAGAGGTTCGGTAACACAGTCGCTTAGAGCGCTGACATTTGCACACTTACGTCAAAGAAATGGTATTGGATAGTCATCTTCTGTCATTATTTCAATCAACCCAGCTGTAAATGAGTACAGAAAGAGCAATGCCAACTTGGAATGTTTGATCAAGGCAAGGACCAGCTGGTTGCAACTTTCTCTCTTTCAAATGTAAAAGCAATGCCACCAGAAAATGTTTCACCAAAACATATGTCTATCCCTCCGTTGACTGACGAGACAAAACTCCCAGTTTTAATTCCTGTAATTCCTAAACAATACATTGTCATTATTCATTCAATCATTCCTAGACATTGCTTTCTCTGACTCTGGACTGACAGTGACAGCAGAAGCTTCTCTCAGCTTATTCTACGTAACTTGTTAGCTTCCAACATAAATAATGACATCTCATACCTTCCTCTGATTTTTCCATTTTATTCTTCAATTAGTATTTATCGTAAAATTCAATAAACGTTTAAAAACAATATTGAAATAAATGACAAAATAATTATTTTGTTTACGTCGATTGTTAAACAAAAATAAATTTTTAAGAGCGCCGTCTACTCTAAACCGGAAGTTATTTCAAAGAAAAGATAATTTAGAAAAAATCAGACAACAGTTAAACCATTTGTTTAATAATCAGACATATTTATTGTCTGTCCCTGGAAAGAATGATTTGTAACATGGTTTAGTAACTTACTCAGAGCATCCAGTTTTGAATACTACTATACTTAGTTAGGCTACTTAAACTAAATAGCTTTCTTCTAAAAATGCAGAAATGTCGTCGGCTACGACTTGGCTTATTCTTGAGCATTTGTATAGTTTCCTTAAAGCTGTCCTTGATGTACTTTACTAAAGACCGCTTGTTAAAAAATCCGCCACGGTGTTGAAAATAATGTTATGTAGTCTTGGATATGCGAATTTTTATACTGAAAATTTTCTTCATAGGTGAAGGCCTACTCTTTTTACCCTTTTTTACTCTAAAATGACTATGCGATCATACTATGACCTGGCTGGCTGTCCTACAGTAAAATTTGGAGGTTGGAGGTAGGCCCCCAGACACAATGCGCACACGATCCGCATTTTATATTCGTACTGTATAATACCGCACCTTACCGACTTGGACCCACATGTTGTTTATTTGCAACTCAACTCAGTTAAAAATCAGCTTGTTACTATAACCTCACCATTCATCTCAAAGATAAAACCAAAAGCACCAGAATTACCGGAAGACATGATTTTTTTGCCACAATAAGCATGACGTCAAAAAGGATTTTCGTCATGTACATTGTAACACCCCGGTAACGTCATGTTACTGAAGTAACAAGCAAAGAAGATGGCTGTCAGAGTTCTAGTCTACAGAGATTACAGCCCCTGGGCTAGGCTTTAAAGTTACTTCATGGTTAAGGATTAACAGAAAAAAAGTAATGGAGCGCCTCACATTAACTCCGCGACACCAGTCGATCGATTTTAGGCAATGTCTTCCGGCTGGGGATATTTTACCGTCATGGTCAAACTTGCCATTGGACACCAAATTACCGATGCATAAAACTCCTGAGGGAAGGGTCACACTCTATACGACTCCGCTATCAGAACCGGTGAGTAACCTTGCTCTGAATAGTATTTTAAAGATTCTCCGTGGCGTTCCAACTACGGTCAATCCAGACCACCACCGCCCCACCCCCAACTCCCCATAAAAGATCCCCCACCCCCTCCACTAGTTCTTTTAATTGAGTTCTTAAACGTCTGGTGCTGTGATCCCCCATTACAAATGATTACAAATAGGCCTACGACTACTTATCGATGTATTTCTGCTGTCATCATAAACATATAAGACCTAATAATATTAGCGCATTGTGACACATTGTAAGGCGTTTTCGGCTTTTGCTCCGGATTGAATTTGCTGTGATGGTTTGGTGAATTAAAATGCCAAACTTATTCATACAGAATTTTTAGTCAACTTCAGCGTTTTTGTTTTGTCGAGATATCCATTTCTTCTGTCTGAGGATCTATTTGAAATCTTCTATTATTAAACTGAGACATTTCCATTTTGCTCTAGTGGGCGTATATCTGACCATGGGCTATCTGATTATCTTGCATTTGATACAAGTTTTAACCGTTTTTTTTTCGGTTTAAATTACAGAAGTACAGAAGCAGCCAATGTATAGATTTTGATTTGTCAGATCCTCTTGGAACCTCATTGTCCACAGAATACCAATCTCTACACGACCCGCACCTCAAATCTCATTTTAACCTACGGACAATGAGGCGTCATCTGGTGAGAAATGGTTTTATCACATCATCAGGGGAGGTAATCTGTACGTTAAGAGAGTTTAACCAGTATCGTCAGTATCTCAGACGTCTGTGTTTACTGGAAGTTACACAAGAGCGCAAAGAGGAGGTAAGTTTAATCATGTAGAAGACAACTGGACTAATTTGGTATACAGAAAGAGTCTGTTCTAAAAGCCCCCTTTAAGTGTAACTGTCTTTAACCATTATGTCCCAATTTATTCATATTGTTTGACCAAACCTCTTTACAGGTCCTAAACATTAAAAATCCACAAGTTTGACATTTGCTATAATTGTAAGTAATATGACCAAAATAACTCTCTTCGCAGAAATAAGTAGGCTAAGCTTATTATAAAGTTTCTAAATTTGGTCATAATTTAGTTACAACAGCTATTTTTGTATAATATGATAATTTCTGAACAGTCGTTATTAGTCTAGTGATACGTCAACTGTTCCGACTTTCTGAATGTGGCACTCCAGGCAAAAAGCAAAGACAACATTATTGTTTATGCACTCTTTCGACAATTTGGAATAAAGTTCATTGAAATCCCACCATACAAACCCAACGACCTGTAATATGTGCAAGCGTATGCATTTGATTTTTTCTGAATTTCAGCTCGCTTACTTGGAAGCTGCTCGCATGAAGAAACAAAGACCGTCTAAAACTGAATTTGCGCCCAAATTTCATGAAATAAAAAAGCGTCAACAAGAAATGCTAGAGAAAATCAAACAAAGGTATGTTGATGAACTTTCCTTCTATAATTGAAAAAACAAAAAAAAAACAAAAAAAACCCCAAAAAACAAACAAACACATTTCATTAAATCAGGATGTTAAAATTCTTCTTTTTTTGTTTGTTTCTGTGGGTGACTCTATAATTTTGTCATCCATGATCTGACGATATTGATACAATATTATCGTTATTTTCTCTTGATTTAGATCATTTCATATCCAATTAATATCTCTGATTCAATCAAAGGCCTTCGGTTCTTTTTTTAAGCCCACATTATAATGTATGATTTTTGGTATGATTTGATATACTGAAAATGTATAAGGAAAGTGGGCGTATTTTGCTAAGCAACCACTTGTTATATTTATATATATAATATATTACGTACGATGGATGACTACCTGTCAGCACGTTTCGGAATATTCCAAGAAAATGATCTATTTGGCGTTTCAGACACGAAGAGCTAGTCAAGATGGAAGAAGAAAGACTTCAGAAAAAATTTCAACTTCAAGCTGAGAAAATGTTGAATTACGAGGAGAAAAGAAGAGTATTAGATAAACGACGAGATGAAATACTATATCGTCATAAAGAAGAGGTACAATATCACTATATGTACCTTCTTTTCAGGGCGACTATGATAACCTATATACCAGTAGAAATTTCTAAATAATGCTTTGCAAATCTGCAAACTGCACACAATAGTACCGGGTCTAATAGCAACACGCATTATTTCTGGATTTCATATTTTTCAGTTAAAACGAAAGAATACAAACTTACTGCGATCTTGGATAATAAAAGATCAAGAAAGAAATAAGAGATTAGAAGAGCAAAAAACAGATATGATACTACATCAAACACAAAAGGTATGCATAGCATAGCATAGTATAGCAAAGAAATGGCATAGAATCGAATTGCAACGAATTGAATTTAGAATAGAATTTAGAATAGAATAGAAAAGAAACGACATAGTATAGAATAGAAATTAATAGAATTTTTAGAATAGCACAGCATAGTATAGCAAAGAAAGGGCATAGAATCGAATCGAAACAAATAGAATATGAAAAGCCTAAGAATAAGAATTCGAATAGATTAGATTGCCTCATAAAAACGTTTACAAATCCAAAATCTCTTTTCAACTTTTAATCAAAAGAATGTAGAGAACTGGCATAAGAGAAAACTGCACGAATATGAAAAATTAGAGAGAGAAAAAGAGGTCAGAGAAAGAGAGCGAGAATTGATTGAAGAAAATGTCAAACTACGTGAGAAGAAAATTAGAAAATTACGAAAACGACAATTAGGTAAGTAATTTAAAAGATGGGCTATAAAAATCATCGAAGCTTTATGATTCGGAAACGCGAGGGAGTGATTAAAGTTAAAAACTATTGATAAAAATAGAAGCTGTTATTTTAATCAAAGTAGGTTTACGTTAAAGAGATGATTTACTAATTTTTGCTTTACTAGTTAATAGAAGACTCAAGTTCAGATTTTTTTCGTCGACTTCTGATTCGCATGTCAGTGTGTTACAGGTCATGGTTCATGAGGGTGATTTTGGCCTGGTGATATGTTAATATTCTGCAGAAGTACCAGAGCTGTACGAAAATCACATAATTTCTTCAAAAGATCTCAAACTAGGAATTTTATTTTTAGTTCTTTTTTTTTCTCCCTCTGTCTGGAAAAGGGTACCCGAAAAATTGATCCTGTTTATAAGGTCGAGAATAGGAAATACGGTGTACGAATAATTTTTGATTATCCAGTCATTAACCGTTGCATATGGCTAACTCTTCAAAAAGACGAGTCATCATTGTAACTTTCAAACACGCATAATTATGGATACGCACGCGGTTAAGAAGGCTAAGATTTCGACGGTGAACGCTATGTACGGATTAGCTTAGCTGAGTAATTCCAGTTTCTGGGACTAAAGTACGATTGACTTCTGAAAATGGTGAACCATGAAAATAACTTCAAGACTTTTTTCCATAATATTCACTGACTAAAACGACATGGAATTATTGTCGCTCCAGCCTGTTTTAAAATAAAACAAATTTAAGATTTAAGAAATATAAAAATTATTATATTTCAACACGAATCGGTCTGATAATTAGACGAAAGTATCTCTTTGAAATCTTAATAAATACCAAAAAAAGTATTAAATGTGGATATTCTAAGTAGATTTAAATTTTAATTCAAAAACTAACCTGCATATTAACATGCTACTGGAGCAATTTTTCTCATAAAGCGAAAAAAAAAGGAAATGTCTGGAACTTTGAAAACATTTCATTATGTTTCTTATGTAATCAAAATGTGACTGAAATCAAAATCACAAAATCTGTAGAATATTACACCGATGGTGGCTCATTGCTATCGTGTCAAAATTTGGAAGCTATTTGGACACGCGGTAATTTCTCAGTCGTGATATATCAACGCAAACGAATGTATTTGCGGCTTGTCTCAAGTTATAATTTCACCCAAAATACATGGTTAAAGCGGCAGTATGCAAAAATTTCATTATCAAAAACGTCGTAAATTATACCTGAAAATATTTCTAAAGTATGCTATTCATATCTACTTAATGAAACTGAATTTGTTTTAAAAGGGTTAATTAAAAACAGAGCGTACTAATTGTTAATTAAGCAGTTTGAACTAGATTTGGTGTTTGGGTTTTTAATGCCTCGATAATATTAAATGAAACTTAAGAATATGTAGGAGACATATTTCTCTACAATCGGGCAATTAAAGACTTCCAGATACGTTAAGGGACACATTTCTCTATCAGATGTATTTGTCACAAATTTGAGCAGAAAAATTTTTTTGACCTACTAAAAAGCGGAACGCCCCTTTGATATTATAGCATAGCGGGAAACTCTGGGTAACAACATGACTATGTTCTGTTTTAATATTTCTAGTTATAACATAATAACAAAACATTATAGAGCGATATAGAGATTTTAAAACAGAATCTGAAACATGTTGTTACAGTGTGACCTTCAGACAGCTGACCTATTTCAGCCTGTGTCTCTGCTTAGTAATTTCTTAAGTTGGATGTGTAAACCAATTTACTTAATACTAAATTAACAATTTTCAATTGTCTTTTCCAGCTGAAATTAATACTATAAAAATGATGAGAAAAAGACGACAGATGAATAAAGAAAGAAAATATGCACAGAGACTTGCCCATAAAATAGTCACAGGAAATGTTCATCCGTTCACTGAAAAAGGTAAGATTATAAACTAACATTATTTAAAACAACTGCCAGTGGTGGGAACCAGGGTTGGGAATCAATAAACGATGTTTTTGATTTCATATAACCAACAATGCTATTGATTTCATGCAATCACTGTAATACGAATGTAAATAAATGCAATCAACAATACATTTGATGCCATAAAATCAAAAGTAATATTGTTGTAATAGGATCAAAAATGTTATTTATGTAATACAATCAACAATACTATTGACGTAATACAATCAACAATACTTTTGACTTATACAATACTATTGATGATATACAATCAACAATACTTTTGAATTAAACAATACAATTGAAGTAATACAATCAACAATACTTTTGAATTAAACAATACAATTGAAGTAATACAATCAACAATACTTTTGAATTAAACAATACAATTGAAGTAATACAATCAACAATACTATTGACGTAATACAATCAACAATACTTTTGACTTATACAATACTATTGATGATATACAATCAACAATACTTTTGAATTAAACAATACAATTGAAGTAATACAATCAACAATACTTTTGAATTAAACAATACTATTGATGTAATACAATCAACAATACTATTGACGTAATACAATCAACAATACTTTTGACTTATACAATACAATTGACGTAATACAATCAACAATACTTTTGACTTATACAATACTATTGACGTAATACAATCAACAATACTTTTGAATTAAACAATGCTATTGACGTAATACAATCAGCAATACTTTTGAATTAAACAATACTATTGACGCAATACAATGGACAATACTTTTCAATAAACAATACAATTGAAGTAATACAATTAACAATACTCTTGGATTAAACAATACTGTTGACGTAATACAATTAACAATACTTTTGAATTAAACAATACAATTGAAGTAATACAATTAACAATACTTTTGAATTTAACAATACTATTGACGCAATACAATGGACAATACTTTTCAATAAACAATACAATTGAAGTAATACAATTAACAATACTTTTGAATTAAACAATACAATTGAAGTAATACAATCAACAATACTTTTGAATTAAACAATACTATTGATGTAATACAATCAACAATACTTTTGAATTAAACAATACAATTGAAGTGATACAATCAACAATACTGTTGACGTAATACAATCAACAATACTTTTGAATTAAACAATACAATTGAAGTAATACAATCAACAATACTGTTGACGTAATACAATCAACAATACTTTTGAATTAAACAATACAATTGAAGTAATACAATCAACAATACTTTTGAATTAAACAATACAATTGACATAATACAATCAACAATACTTTTGAATTAAACAATACAATTGAAGTAATACAATTAACAATACTGTTGACGTAATACAATCAACAATACTGTTGACGTAATACAATCAACAATACTTTTGAATTAAACAATACTATTGATGTAATACAATCGACAAAACCATACTATTGACGTCATACAATCAACAATACTTTTGAATTAAACAATACAATTGAAGTAATACAATCAACAATACTATTGACGTAATACAATCAACAATACTTTTGAATTAAACAATACAATTGAAGTAATACAATCAACAATACTGTTGACGTAATACAATCAACAATACTTTTGAATTAAACAATACTATTGATGTAATACAATCGACAAAACCATACTATTGATGTGATACAATCAACAATATTGTTCAGTCATGTAATACAATTGACAACAATGCCATTGATGTAATACAATCTACAATGCTATTGATGTAATTAAATCGGCAACACTATTGATGTCATACATTTGACAATGCTATTGATGTAATACAATCGACAATACTATTGATGCAACAATTAAATAACCTCTTGATGTCATAAAATCAACAATACTATTCATGTAATACAATCGACAATGCTATTGTTGTAATACAATCGACAATGCTATTGATGTAATACAATCAACAATACTATTGTTGTAATAATACAATAGACAATGCTATTGATGTAATACAATCAACAATACTATTGTTGTAATAATACAATAGACAATGCTATTGATGTAATACAATCAACAATACTATTGTTGTAATACAATCGACAATACTATTGTTGTAATACAATCGACAATACTATTGTTGTAATACAATCGACAATGCTATTGATGTCAAATACTCTTGATGTAACATACATTCAAGAATATTAATGACGTACCGGTAATACAATTCACAATATAGTCGGGGCTGTTATGTAGCCCCGACTAATACTATTTATACAACGAACGCTGTCAATGATGTCATACCATAAATAGTACTATAGATATAACATAATAAACAACACTATTGATGTAAAAATCAACAATATAATTGATGTAAAAATCAACAATACAATTGATGTCATGTAATCGACAACATGTAATCGATGTAACACTATTGATGTTATACAATCGACAATAAACTGACTATTGATGTGACAATCAACAATGCTTTTGTTGTAATACCACCAACATTGCTATTGATGTCATATAATCAACAATATACTGATGTCATATAATCAACAATGCTATTGATGTCATACAATGAATATACTATTAATGTCGTACAATCAACAATAAGCTGACTATTGATGTAATGCAATTAACAATGCTATTGATGTAATACAACCAGCAATGCTATTGATGTCATACAATCAACAATCTACTGATGTAATATAATCAACAATGCTATTGATTTAACAATCAGCAATAATATTGATATAACAAACATATTAATTATTATATTATTATATTATAATATTATTTATTATAAATATTAATTATCAAACGGAATGTAATTTTGAAACACAAAAGACAACGAATGAAGCATCTGAGCATTTCTAGTACTCACTTCAACCAGATGATGCGGTTGTACTATTACATTATAAGGAATCATCTTAATATCCAGACAATAATTAAAATCTTGTACATTACCGATACCAGTGTAAATCAGGTTAGCTATTAAGAGAAAGCTTTTAAGACTATTCAATTTATCAAACAAAATGTAGCGAAGGTAAATTACTCGGAATCAGTGCAATTAGATCCGATTTACGTTCCACTATAATATAAAATTCCTGGTCACTTAATGTGCCACATTTTGTTAGTAACTGGGCGGATAATTTCTCAATTTATAACTAGCTATTCAGCAACCCTATTTCAATGTGCATAAAGATTTTTTTTTGTGCAAATACGAGAGCATGCCATGTGCATAATAATGGTATTATTTTGTTGGTTACGCTGGTTGGGTTAACCTTAAAGGCATACTTTCACCATCCATTTGTACCAATCGTACCTTGATCTCAGAAACAGGTATTGTTTAGCTAAGCTAATCAGTATTAATGTCCAAATAAGTGACCGCCATTTTAGAGAGCAGTAAAGTTTATAAATGGATTTTTTATCATAATTTTTGCTGCCATTCAGTAAATAGCAATGATAAAACAACTTCCTATCGCATTGATTTAGTTTTACGTCCTAATTTTTTGCACATCTTATAGGCTAATAACATGTAGTCTTATGGGCGAGATTTTTCCAGAACACCGGAATAAACCTGCTCTTTTTCGATTTACAACTGTCTAGAGAAAGTCTGTAACACACTGGGCCTCGTTTTTTTGACATCATATCGTGTTTCGGATACCCAAACCTCAATAATTACCCTATTGTATGAGATATAATAATGTTCATTATGAGAGCAAAATACCTTTGTAAATCTATAAAATTTTCAATTAATTTCCTTCATATTTCAACAATATATGTGGTAATATCGATTTAGCGTGCGCTATTTTCCAATCTAATTGAAACACCATTGTGCTTTTCAAATACTCTTGTCAGCAATGTAAGATTAAAACAATAAATATAATTGAAGTTTATATGAAATAATTACTTCTAATTTATCAAGTTGTTAATGTGTTGGTTTTATTCCAAATTTCCACTTTTCCAGGTAAGTACATATACACTTAACTTTTCTGGAGTACCACACGTAATACGGAACAATGCTGACTTGGGTATGTACTAATCGTAGTTGGTTATATGTCACATCTCCGAAATCTTTGATAACCCGATTATGTGATTAGGAGGTTGAGGATTTGGAAAGGCTGAAAGGTCTAAAATAATAAAGTTACAGCCACCAATTCGTGGTGGTGACTACAACCGTCAATCAGTGGTGCCTACAACCGTCACTCTGTGGTAACTACAATCGTCAATCAGTGTTGACTACAACCGTCAATCTGTGGTAACTACAATCGTCAATCAGTGTTGACTACAAGAGTTTATCAGCGGTGACTACAACCATATATATAGTGGTGGTGACTACATCTGTCGCCCTTAGGTGACTGCAACCGCCAATCAGTGGTTAATACATTCAAATTCAAAATTTTATTAGAAATGAGTAACACCAGATTGCAGTTTTGGCGAATTTAGTTAAATTTTGATTCGCTATTTATACACATTCAGTAGAAATTCAAAATGTTCCGGTTGTAAACTCCACATCAATCTTGCCAATGACGTCTAAAATATTATAATGATACAATAATCTATTCGAAAAATAAGATAGGATAGATCCAGTTATTTCTTCAAGGTTTCTATAGACCGCCGAACGTTGCTTAATATTAATATTTGGCAGGCATTCTCATGAAACAATTTGATTCGCATATTGTCGTGACATATTTTTAACTTTTGATAATCATCGAAAACTGTGCCGCAACTTAAATTGAACCGCGTAGTAAAGACAAAGGAGGAAGAGGCAGGGGGTGTTTTGTTAATGCTTGAAGTCGCGAAGAAGAGACAGTGTAGGTAGGAGGAAGTAATGTATAGTGCAGAGAAACACAAGAAGGATACAGGAGAAAAGAGAGAAAGGAAAGTAGAGAAAGAGGGAATGATGGTAGAGTCAAAAGAGGGAAAAGGGGGATAGATGAAGGGAAAACGTAGTAATTTAACGAACGGTAAGGAAGAGATTGAGAGAAAAAAAAGGGTAGAC